GGCATCCTTCCTTCGGCAGTACCGTGTTCAGGAAGCGGGTGAGCCACCTTACCCCGTGCTCTCCAAGCGCCTTCCAAGCCTCTATGGGTACTCCATCTGGACCAACCGCCTTTCCAACCTTCATCTTCCCAAGTGCACACCGAACCTCATCCTCTGTCCAGAGTGCGATGGGACCAGCTGTGGCCTCTGCCCGTGAGTTGTTCTTGTGGGGGAACTCCTCGTACAGGAGACCTATGGAGTACGCTCAGATAAGAAGAGTAAATTTTTGGCAAGTAAAAAAGGTGTAACTATTGAGGGACTTTTTAAAGGTCGGGAAACTGCTCAATTTCAGTCGTTTAGCTATTATGCACAGTCAACTCCGTTTGTCGAGCATCTGGGCATCCCTCCGCTCGCTGGACTCCCTTGAGGTCGCATGTGTTGTGGGTAGGACAAGAGAAGGTTTATTAGAGCTGGAAAGGTGGTCGAAAGGGAACGAGAGGCGTATGACGTTCCAAACCAGAAAGAGGGTGGGCCTCCTGGAGCTTAACGCAATTGTAAACCCTAATACGCTCTGCACTAAGAGCGTTCTAGGTAAGTCAACCAACCATAAGTTTACCTATGGATAATCTCACCTTACTCAATCTGGAACCCACGCATTGTCTCCGTGTTACCTTCGAACCGCTTCGTTCAGGTGATATGCACAGAGGGAACGACTGACGGTAATACTCTTCGTAGAGTAGCTCTCAGCTGACGGTTGACCATTATTTGAGTCAGCCGAAGACTACTTTGTTGGATCCACTAAATTATGCGATCGTATGGCGCCTGCTTTTTTTTACCCTAAGTACCATGTAACGATGGAAATGAACTTGTTGTGACCACTTATCCTGCTTGTTTTAGTGCACAGGAATTGCCTTGAATTAAAATTTTCAGTGTCGACCCCATGATTTCGGCAATTTTGTGCTTCTTGCTGGTGATGCTGCACACGCAATGGCGCCGTTCTACGGTCAGGGAATGAATTGTGTGAGTACAGCTTCTCTAGGACCAATGTGACCAATGTCTGGTTCTTTTTTACAAAATT